GTTCATAGTAGTGAAACAGAAGATTATGTGGTTTTCAAAATTTGAAGTTTTCCATTCATCTGTTTATTTTTCCTTTATTCTAATTCTGTATGAAATGCAGATTAACCAACTGCTTTCAGGGGTCATTCAGTTGTGCATGTGTGTATTTTAATCTCATTTTAGGTAAAACGTCTCTGTGAATTAAACCTGCAAAGCAAAAAACTTCTACTGCACATCATTCTGAACACACCACACCCATGGTGGTGGCAGCATCATGATGTTGGATGCATTTTTTTTGCAAGAGCAAGTAAGCTGGTTAGAGGCTGACGATGGACAGGAATATATATCTATAATTTTTTTTTGTCATTCCGCTTCACATTTCTGCCTTATTTTGTGTTCACCTATTACATAATATCCCAGTGAAATTGTTTGAGGCTTGTGGTTGTAGCATGAACTAATATGAAAACATTCAGTGTAACAATATGTGTGCAACCCACTAAGTTTTTACTTCTCATCTTAGTTTGAGTAAGACTTGTTTCATTTTCTTGTCCTCGCCTTTGTGTGTTTTAGTTCCTTACACCTCTCATTTTTTTCTTAATTTTCTTGTTTCTGCTTTACATACATTGTCTGAGAAGGTTTTGTTCAGCAGGCTGTATGTCCATATACACTCATCTGAGTTTGTGCTTAGGAATTGCACCTGACCAAGTGTGTTATAGGGAGAAATCACGCCACACTGAGTTATTTCTGGCTGGGTTAGTCGTATTTCTCTGGGCACTTTGATAATGGAGAGCATTTGAATAATGAATGGAGTGTATAATACTGTTCTTCAAACTCGCTGAATGAATTAGGCAAGTGCACATAAGAGAGGTTTCTGAGTGTATGTTGTAGGGAATGAAACACAAATTTCCTTTTTAGCACTGCTTAATAAGCAAAGGAATATATATTGACATAGACAATTATCTCTTTTTAGCTTCTTTGCAACCATTCTGACTTGTGTGGGCGATTCTTAATAGCACTTAATGTGCTGTGATGCTAAGCAGACCCCTTGCCTGAACAAACCCCTAGTCTGAGAGGCTGCTTTGTCTCTCTAAAGAGAAGACGCAATGATAAATGAATCACTATGAGATGACTAGTTCTTGATAAAGGTTTAAATAACATGACTATTGGTCACATCACCTAAAAAATGATTTAAACCACCATTCACTTCTTAACGCTTTGATTCCAGTGAGCCATTCTTCTTCAATGTAATACTTTATAGTTCCTTCAGTTGTCTGAGATTTCTTATGATCTAAGGAGTATTTTCTTGGAAATTTGCTGATTTTTCATTTATATTTTGTCCAGAATATTCTCAAAAATAAAGAAAGTGAAAGAGTACACTGTCCTAAAAAAGAAAAAAAAAAACTACTCACAGGTAATTAATATTATTCATGTCTTTGGATCTACGAGGTACAGCTGTGTGATAGCACGCAACATTTGCACCTTTGAATATTTAACATTGATTTTTAAAACTACTGTTAAATTTAAGTGATTGAATAAATAATGCAGCCCTTTATATTTTTTTCTGTGAAACCTAATTAGAAATTTGATTTCTGGTGAGGAATAAATTCATGGCTGAAACCACAGAGTACGACTGAAAGAGTTACAGTAGTTGGTCCCTTCAGAATGAAGAAGGAAATTATGGGATCTCAAAAGAATTTGAAGCTATTCATGCCACTGCTTGAAAAACAGTTTACAAGTGGAGGAGATCCAAACAACTGCCAACACATGGAGGTTTATCTGTCCTGGTATGCTGACTTGAGTAGACCCCAGAAGCTACAAGAAGTTTTCAAAAACCCTAAAATACCACGACTGGACATTTAAATCCAGTTGTGATTTAACTGTCCAGTTTTATCCAGTCAACAAAATTAGATTAGGAATCAATATGCGGATATTTCTTAATAAATACCTGAATGTTTAGTAGGTTCTCCTATTTTTTTTTTTCATAACTTTTTATCAATCCTAAATTTCCATGTTTGCCAACTTTTCATATTTTATTAATGAATAATGGTGAATAGAAATTTTTGAAAAAGACAAAGGATAAATTAGACATAAAGATGTCAATTTGAATTCATAACCTGGAGCAACAGACTTCTTGATTAGATCCCATGCATGTGAAGTGAGAATGTTAACTGTATAAGATGACTGGTCCTATTCTCTTGACTGAAACTACATTAATTAATATTCAGGTGTTTTTTTTTTTTGTTTTTTTTTTCTAAATTTAACTTTTTTCAATTGCTCAATTATTAATAACTCCAAAATCATTCAAAAAAGGTACTTTCAGTCTGTTTTCAAAAGTAAATCTTGTTGAGTGTGGAGGAGGAAACTTCCATTAAGACATCTATCAACTTAGTTTTCATTTCTACAGCATAACTCAATCTTACTTTGTTTATTTTAGTGTGTGTGTGTGTGTGTGTGTGTGTGTGTGTGTGTGTGTGTGTGTGTGTGTGTGTGTGTGTGTGTGTGTGTGTGTGTGCTGTGAGTATAATCCTGCAGGATGACTTGGTCCCGTGCTGGTTTGGCTTGTGACGGTAACTGAAGGTGACTAAAAGGGAGGTAGCTGTCTTCTTTCGCTGTGGTCACATTCTCATTTGTTGCTACTGGCATCCTATGAATTATTGAGTCTGGGGCGTCGTGGCTCCCACCTCTCCTCTCACATTCCCTCAGTCTACTTGACAGCCACCCTGTGTGTGTGTGTGCGTGTGTATATGTGTGTATTTGCGGAAGCGTGTTTGCGCGCGCTTAGCGTAAAAGTGAATGCATTCTTCCGCAATTAGACGGAGCTTCCATCCTCATTCTGTCAAAAATGTTCTCTGCTGCATGAAAAAATCCAAAGTAAACAGTTTCTCTTCTGCGCTCTGTCTTTCTTCCAATCCACATTTTAAAGTTCCGCTTTGAATCTGCACCTTGTATTATTTGCTTAAATTGCAAACTATTTCATTTAATGTACAAAGCATCAAAGCTTCGCGCAAAAATAAAGCAGAAATTGGCCTCCCGGTGCACCTCGATTATTGCATGAGAAACAGCAATATACCTTTCAGGTTCTGCTGAATAATTGAAGTGCCCTCAGTCGCCACATGCCGCTGACGCTCATAGGCCTTCAGCTCAACTTACCACGTTATGATATCAATGCTGGTAATATGAGGATCAATTATTCACAAGACCAAACCCCACTTTCAGGCCAAAAAACTCTCAGAAATTCAACTTTTTATGTCTTAGTTTGCATTTTTATTTCTGACTAAACTTAAAAACGCGCATTGAAACGGCCTAACTCATCAAAAGGGGGGAGGATCCGTTACAACAATTAAATTAAGGGTTCGTCTCTCCCTTTTGAAAAAACCCATTAAACACCATAAATTAGACTGAATTAAATCGACTCTCACCATCAAAGGGAATATTCATGAGCGCTACAAACGTTTCCGCGTAAAGCTGCAAAGTATCGATCTCATCCAACAACCGGCCCACGGTCTCTCAGGGAAAAATCACACAGCCGCAAGCCATGACCACTGTGGGAGGATTCCGGCGGAAGCTTCTCAATTTAGCCTCTAATGCATTTATTTATTCATTTCGTTTCTAGAAACATCTGATGGATGTTTGGTGACCGACTCCACTGGCGGAAATGACAATTTTAAGATATTTTTTTAATGTGTCATTTTTACGCATCTTAGTTCTGCTGAGAAGAAACGTCTGTGAAAATGAACTTTAAACGTACAATGCTTCCAGAAAATTATTATTATTAGTAATAATAATAATAATAATAATAATAATAATAATAATAATAATAATAATAATAATAATAGCCTAAATGCATAGTGCTAAAAAGTGAATTAAAAGTAGGCTGGTAGTGCACATGCGCCCATAATTTAAATTTATTAAAAATAAGAAAATACAACGGTAAAACTTAAAAATACTTACATAACAAAAGCCTAATATTAATGAAGTAAAAGACAGAGAGAGAGAGAGAGAGAGCTCTCCCTGTTTCCTCGTCCAACCTGTGGTGCGTCTCAGGAGTTCCCATTCAAGCCTCTGCTCCCTGTTCGTCCACACTGCTTGCTTTTATACACATATATAATTAATATTGCATCGTCATTACTTAATAATTTCAGTCCCAGCGCACGAGACAACCCGGTAACACGAGGGCATTCATAATTGAAGGTGCGCTAATTAGAGAGGAAGGGGTCCGGACGCGCACTTGTCGCTCCACGGTGTGAGAATCACTGTGAAAATCAAGGGCCCTCCCTGTGTTTATTTGTTCTGCTTGTATCATATACGACAAATTCATATTTAATGCCAGCAGAGTTTTAGGGTCTATAAATAATAGAGCCCCTAAAAACAACCCTCATTTTTTTCTTACACTGTAAACATTATTTATTTTCACTGAAAAAAGCGGAGTATTCACCAAAGTTCATTTCTCCTGAAGTAATGCCCAGTAGCTGTATCACTACACAATTAAAATACTCACAGTTCGACACTGTATCATTTTTACATCGGATCATCTTGCTAATGGTCATTTAAAGAACATCTAAGTGGGATGAGGAGCAGACACTTCATCGTAAAATTAGAAAGGTTACTGATGTTAGCTGAGAGGGAATATTTTTGATTGGTTTTAATTTGTTTTATTATTATTTTTACGTAAGCACTAGTTAAACTTCGACCCGGATTACAAAAATCACTTACAGCAGCTTGTATTCTATTTATTCAACAGTAGGTCTGTAAATTATAGATTTTTACAGGAACACATTAGTTATACAGCACTGATGGTGTAAAACTAAAATACTAACTCAGCATACCTAACACAAGTGTTAAGTACGTCAATATTTTTTTAACCTAGATAATTACAATACATATATAATCCATAGATTCCCCCCCCCCCTCTTCTTTTCAGTGGCTATTTTGGTGAGTTTACATATTCAGACGGAAAAAAGGAAGTTTTTGCATCTTTTTTAAGTTGTATTTTTGTTTCTTTACTAAAATGTCCTTTGACAGGTAAAGTCACTCAGCTATGCTGTTATTTTAACAATAAACAATTTACAGTGTTTAATCTGCAGCTTATCTAATATGCCTTGTTGGAAGGCCTCGGGCCTGAGGATCAAAACCACCCATTCATTCAAGAAAACAATGAGAATAATAATAGTGAGAATTTTAGAAAATAACCAATAATTTATTCAGTTTAAATTTCACACTTCTTTTTTATTCCAAGTGAAATCAAGAGTGAGGAAAATAAATACTTGACAGGTGATAAAAGCCATATAATAAATATCTATACAGCTCACCTGTGATTCTGGAAAACATGTTCACATCAAAATACTAAAATATAGCAGCAGCCACATTGGTTGTGCTCCCTGTAATGACGGTGTCATTTCCATTTCTTAATAATTCAAGACGAACAGAGTGTTATAGCTTGTGATGAAGACTCACTTTTGTGCGTAAATCACGATCACTCACAGTTCACAAAGAGAGCGGCTTCATTCGAAGAATTTAGTGGTTAAAATGTGAAACCATGGAACATTTTTATCGCAAAGGCTCCACAGGTGAAGACATGATAGTGTTGGTATTTAAGGATATATGAAGTGGAGATCATAGAGTCTGTTTTGTTATTTGTTGTAAGGAAGAAAATAAAAAAGTCCAGTTGGGCTCCAATGACAAGGAATATGATAGTTCAAAATAAAAGTCCCTTCTCAGCGTGTGCAGACTACATTATCAATAACATCAAAAATCCCTTTAAAAGAAACAAATATGCCATCTCAACAGCAGAATCCGGAAAAGTGCAACAATGCAAAGTGAGTGACACAAAAATGGGTAAAGTCATTTCTGGAAACGATCCCAGAGATGCTGATAAATCCCTGTTTGTTAGGGCTACTCGGGTTATTATTAATCACTCAATCAAAAATGTAGTAGGCTATTTTATTCATGATGTTGGTGGGAAGAACTCAGTGCACCGCCGAGTACTTCATTCGCTTCTGTTTCTGCCGCTGATTGCAGAACCACACTCGAACCACGTTCTTTTTCAGGTCCAATTTCTCGGCGATGGCCGCGATTTTCTCCGACGAGGGCCGAGGCTGGATGGCGAAGTACGCCTCCAACGAGCGCTTCTCCGGCGCGGCGATGGACGTGCGCTTCCTTTTCCTCTCGCTGCCGTTGAAAAGGTCCGGCTTGCTGCTCTTCTCCCGGTGCGCAGCCTCGGCTTCTTCCAGCCAGGCCTGCAGGACCGGCTTGAGGGCGATCATGTTGTTGTGGGACAGGGTGAGGGACTCGAACCTGCAGATAGTGCTCTGACTCAGCGACCCCACGCCTGGGATCTTGAGGTTGGCCAATGCTGCGCCGACGTCCGCCTGGGTCACTCCGAGCTTAATCCTGCGCTGCTTGAAGCGCTCCGCGAACGCTTCCAACTCCCGTGGATCGGACTCCACGTCGCTGACGCAGGCCATGCCTCCGTGCACGGACAGGGAGTGAGGATGGGCCATTGTGGCCATCGCCTGATGCAGCTGTCCCATGGTCTGCAGGTGGTGGTGCGGGTGCTGGTGGTGGTGCGCCGTCGCAGCCATCCCTGGGGGCTCTGGAGCGCCCATCCCGGTCACGGCCAGGCTGGTGGAAAGGTGATCCAGGAGGTCCCCAGCCTCCAGGGTCTGTCCCAGGTGGTGGTGGTGGTGGTGATGGTGGGAGATGGGCACGGTGGTGGAGGAGGACGAGGAGGCTGAGGTGCAGGGGACACTGCTCATGGTATGGTAAGTCACGTCTGGTTTGAACGGGTGGCTCTTGCCTTGAGAGACAATGCTGTCAGCAGCCGCCAGAGCTTCAGCCCGTGCCAGCAGGCTCTCATCAAAGCCTCCGAATATATTGCCCTGCAGCTGCAAGCAAGAGTGCGCATACTGGAGTCAGTGGGGAATTCTGTCAGGCAGCTCTCAGGATCTAAAAAACATTTTCCAAAGGCAAGCAGCGCCGAGGAGAGGAGAGAACCCCTCCTCAAAGCGCAGGTCATAAAAATTAATATGAAAGCAAGAGCATTGCTTGAATAGACATGTGGATGAAGGGGGGAAGGGAGGAGGAGAGAGGGAGAGGGAGAGGGAGAGAGAGAGAGAGAGAGAGAGAACAAAGTCCTGTCAAATCAACTTTACAGACATTTCCAGTGTGATATTTTTCCCTCTCCTCTCACGCAGCAGCGCTGGCCCTTCTCTCCCACCCTGACCCGAACGTACCTGCGGGGCCGGCAGACAGACTCTGCGCATGCCCTCCGAGCCTGAGTGCAGGCCGGGATATTTGGGCTCGTGCAGGGCCGGGTGCATGGAGAAGTGTTGCTTGCCGTTCATGGTCATCATCGTCATCCTCCCAGCAGGCCCCTCGCAAGCAGTGTGGCCCCGGACATGAAAAGAGCCGGGAGGAGCGGGCAGCCACGGGAGCCTCCTGTGCTCTCCGTCACCAGACTGAGGCTGTTCACAGCCAGGGCGCCTCCCGGCATCCTCCTCCTCCTCCTC